GAAGACTAGACCTCACTAAAAATGAGGTCAACATCGCGTCATAATGAAATTTAATTAGGAGTTGTTATATACCAAATAAACTAATGGAATTCATTCAATTCCCCGCCAAGATGTCGCATAACGGTTGTTTTGGAATGCCTGATATACAAAAATCCGCGTCTCCCCTTCGTAAGCTCCGGGCTCCTCATTCGACTTCTTCCCCCTCTCTCAACCGCTTGATTCAGCTCTCCTCCTCTCCGCATCGAAGCCTCGCCGTCCCTCTGCACCGAAAAAAAACCCTCACCTTCCACTCCCGCTTGCCTCACCCCTGCACCAAAATACCGAGCTCCCTGCTGCGCCTCCTCCCCTCTGCACCGAGGCCCTCACTCGACTTCCCCGCTCCTCCTCCGCTCGACCCCTCTCGCTTGCTGCTCTCTCTCACACGACCCGAAGCCTGCTCCTTCTCTCTTCCTCGCTCGTTCGAACAGCCGTTTGACTCGCCTCTCCCCCACGACTAGACGTCGCTCGATTGCCTCTTATTCTCGCACCTTATTCTTATGCTCGCCCCTTAGCAGTTGCCCGCTCACCTCTCTCTCTCGGCAACCCTAGCCGTTCGCCTCTCCCGCTCATTTGGCTTGCCCTTCTGTCTCCCAAGATCCTTCTTCACGGAAACGCCTGCTTCGCCCTCCCTCTCCCTTACGATACTTAGCCCCTCACGCCGAACAACCGTTCGACTTGCCCTTCCTTCTCCCACGATCCTTCTTCACGGAAATGCCTCTCTCTGCCTCACTCCTCAACGCTCGAGGTAAGCATCTTCTCAGGTAAGGTCCCTTTCTCGAGTTTCCCCTTGTTCAGAAGCTTTGAGCTGATTATGATTTTTTTTTCCATTTTTGCTAATTACATGTCGCCCTGAGACTTGCATGCCCCCTTTGCTCTGTTATGAGATTGAGTTTGTCGATGAAGAAAATATGATTTAAGTGATTGTCTTTTTGGTTTACAAAGAACATGTTGCAAGATAATCGCTGTTTTTACTTTTTATGGTGTGTCTCTTATCCACTGTCCAACTTTTGCATCATTGTCTATTTCACACTTATTCATTATGTGTGAATTGGAAATACAGAAATTTTACTCCCGTTTAACATTATAGAATCAGAATTTTTTTTTTTTGATTTCTTGAATAGTTAGTTTATGATTGTCATTTTCATGGACATAAGTTTGTGATTATTTGGTGGTTGCGTTACCACTTTCCTTTGCTAATTGATTGGATTTTTGAGGATTTGCATCCGTAGTGTGGATTCTCAGATATTTATATGTATAATCCTAAACTCCAATCGTTATGCACATACCATTTTGCCTACACATATAATGGGGTTATTTCTTTTGGGTGGTAAATGCATAAGTGTTACATATGTAAATGTTTGAGAATTGTCAAATATGTATGAAAGTATCATTTGGGGATGTCTTAGTCACTGTTTTCGAGGTATTAAAAATATCATTTAGAGGTTGTTTTAAACGTTGTTTTGGAAATATTCAAAGCACCATTTTGGCACTGTTTTGACACCGATTTGGGGCATTTTGATGGGCTGATGTGAGGCAACCCATGCCCTGTTTTGAAGCATTTTGGTGGGTTGATTTGAGGTAATCCATGCACTGTTTTGGAGGCATTAAAGGTATCATTTTGGGGTTGTTTTATGCATTGTTTTGTAGAGGTTCATGTAGCTTTTAAGTGTTGATTTACACGCGGTTTGAAGTTGTTGTTTGGGAGCTTAAAACTGTTGTTTGGTGCTAGAAAATGCCGTAGGAAGCTTAAAACTGTTGTTTAGTGCTAGAGAGTGCTGTTTGGAAGCTTAGAGTTGCTGTTTGGAAGCTTAAAACTGGTGTTCGCTGCTAGGAAGTACTGTTTTGAAGCTTAGAACTGCTGTGTGGTGCTAGGGAGTGTTGTTTGGAAGCTTAGAGTTCCTGTTTGGTGATTAATAGGTGCTGTTTGGTGATAAGAAGTGCTGTTTGGAAGCTTAAAACTGCTGTTTGGGGCTAGGGAGTGCTGTTTGGAAGCTTATAACTGTTGTTTGGTGCTAGGAAGTGTTGTTTAGCCCTTAGAAGCTGTTGTTGGGAGTCTCTAGCTGCTGTCCGGAGCTGTAGGAGGCCTTAGGATTGTTGTTTAGGCTTGCTAGTTGTTGTGTGGAGCCGTAGGAGGCCTTAGGACTGCTGTTTAGGCTTGCTAGCCGCTATTTGGAGCTGTATGAGCTTTCCTATATCACCGGTTCTTTTACATGCTTAAGCTCATATTTGATATGCTCATTAAACTCTCAATTATATTTGCTTATTTTCACATATGATATTGACGTCGCAGCAGCAACAGATACGTCAGACACACAAGTACATTTTATTTATTGTTATTTATCACTGCAATTTTTTA